TTGTTCAAGATTGCTAGAAACATCTTCAAATTTGGATTGCGAAATACAGAAGGAGACACAGCATCTATCAGTGACTCCAAGCGTTGTTTGAACTGGGACAACATTCGTGTGTAGTCGGAATCTGAAGACTTCCGGAATTGATTTGATCTCTTCATGAGCTTTTGGGGTGAGCACCGCACTATTGCGCAACCAAGTCTCGGAGTATTCAATGCACGGCGAAATGACTTCAATACTTCCTGTCGTGAAGGAAGAATGTATAACTATGTAATAGATGCTTTTGGTGATCTTCTTCTTGTTTCCATCTGGCGAGTAGACAAAATCCTGGTATTTGGAGATGCTATGCACTCGGGAGAGATGTCTGCGAAGTGTGATACAAACTGCAGTGACCAAATCAACGCTTGTAGCGTTGACAAAGCATTCGTGAAAAAGACAGACACACGAGAGCTTCTCAGCTTCATGGTACAACTGCAAAATGTTCTCTTGAAAGTGTGCTTGCACCTGAAATAAGACCACTGAAATTCGTTGAGTGCCTGCCAGGGCAGACAGTAGAATTTCCATCTCATCTTCACTGACTACTTTCAGGTCCTCATGATTGTGCAGGGTATTAATTACACTAGGAAAGCGGCAAACGAGAAAGATTTTATGTGACGTGACCATGGACTGTTCAAAGTGTCGTTTGAGTATTCCTTCTTCATTAAACACAAAAATAAATCATCGTAGATGGCCTGAGCAATAAGGCAAAAAGCTTCCTTGTCCGACATGTCAATACTGCTTACGAATGAGCCGAAGACAGTAACTTGGGTTACTGCTCCAGCAAAGCGTAGGTGCAAAGGGTTCGAAAGCAGCGACCGAAACAGTATCTTGGGATACCGTTAAGGCAGAATGTCAGGTGAAGCGCAGGCTACTAAGCAGCTAAGAGGGGTTCAAATCACTCTACCGAGGAAGTCTCTTCTCTTCAAGAGAAACCCTTGATCCTCCTGCCCATCTATTAGATGGGTTTGAACCGAAAAGCTTGAGCCAAAGGGCTACGGAATCAGCGCCAGACTTCGGCTGGTATCGCTTGGAGCAGCCTACACTGCACCTTCGGCCGGGATCTGTGCTGTTGTGCAGCATTCTCCTGACTGTTGCCCTTCTGGGATGACCAGCCATTCCGGTGTTTGGGAGGCATCTAGAGCATACCCATAAACGAGCCCGTGCGCAGCCGTTCGTCCAGGGAGGTAGGGCCCATCCTGCAGGCTAGATGCTTCAGCTGTCAAGAGGTGGGATTGAGTGGCTAAGACAAGACGTAAGCGCCTCTAAGCAGACAGGGAGAGCCAACCCATAAAAGCGGCAGTGGCTTTTCTCACCTGGATTGCCGTGAGGTCAAGGGAGCCGTAGACAGTTCATCAGTGTGTATAGTTTGCACTCCATGCAGGAGGGCAGCCAGCGCCTGCACAGCGCCTGGCATTCCTTGCATATTGAGTGGGCACGCAAGGATGGTGAGGTTGGTAGCGTGGCTATATGCAACATTAGCACGCGTAAAACATTCTTGATCGAAGTCGGTATTTTGCCCAGCACCACTGAGGAAAGTGGACTGTCCATGAATGACTATGCAGTGTTTGGCTGTGGCTCCTGCTACTTTGACTGACGTTTCAGCATTAGCTTTCTCCCCAGTGATGTCAAAGTAGTTGCGTAGGTTTTGGGCACCCTCGCGAGTAGTCGTGAGGGCAAGAATGGCGTCGTTGCCCGCTCCTGCCCGACAAAGTTCATCTTCGAGATGTTGATACACACGAACGGTAGGATTATTTTGGGGGTCTTTACGTGCATCCACGTTATCCGAGGCATGACGCCAATGGACGAAGCGGAGTCCTGAACCAACTAGTTGATCTTCTCGGATCGAGGCTGTGCCTATTTGCCATGTGTCTCCCAGCCGGCTGCAAAGCATGGGGTACTGTTGTAAACTTCCTGGGCAACCCTCGCACTAGTTGGTAGCATGAGGCTCCATCGGTGTTGACCGGCTACTCCCGATCTTTCTGCTGCACTCTGCGCTAGGTGGAACTAGCGGCTTTTGGCTGACTGCATCAGCTGCTTGCTCCAGGTCATCTTGGCGAAAGCCTTGACTGTGGTGAAGTAGCGCGTGAAACACTCCAGGAACCTCATGTGGCATGTGCCAGGCATGCGGGGCTCGCAGTCCTATTGGGGCCTTGAGAAGAAGCGTACGATGAGCTCTCTGATCATCTGCCACTCCGCCCGGGCTTTGTTTGGGATCACCTAGCTTGGTCTGAAGAACGGTTGCCGGGGGACCGCCGGGGCAAAAGCTGACTTCAGATCCATGTCTTGCTGGGCTTCTTCGCTGATGAGGAAGTCAACATTCTCCATATGTGTGTTGAGCGTCGAATGTGCCTGTCCTTTTTGGTCCCAGACCAGCCCCGTGGTGACAATGACAACACGACTGCCTGGAATATATGAGGTTGCATGACTAGCTTGTAGGTCATAGACTGTGCTGGCGGTATTGGCCTCGGCTTCCTCCCTGCCTACCGGTCGAATGAAGTATCGTTGATGGTCAGGCTCCAGCTCGAACGTGGTAAGCAGTTTCGTGATGGCTCGGCCAGCTGGGTTTTCTTGACGCACGACTGCAATTTTGAGATGGGTGATGAGGGCTAACCATGCGAGCAGAAACGTGAGGGATCGTGTCTTGCCTGCACCAAAAACACCTGCTACTGCAAGGATCTACCTGATCGCAGGGCGAACGCTAGGCTGGAGGCAAGTGAGGCAATGTGCCCGTTATCATGACGAGCCGCCGTGCCAAGGGCCTTAGCGAAAGTAGCCGCCTGCGGACAATACGTAAGCGTATCACCCGTGGCCAGCAGCCGAAACAAAGCATGCAAACTCTGGAGTAGGACAATCGTGCACTCGAGGTGGTACGGAATGGGCACGTGACCCGGAATGCCCAGGACGGTGGGTTTATGCTCGGGTGTTAAGGTGGCCATTTGAATTAGGTGATCAGCCGCAACCGTGCCCCCTACTTCCGCAATGGCAACAACTCGAAACTTGGTCGGATTGGATTCTAAGATGCGGAGGCTAGGCGGGAAGCTCCAGCTGATAGGGCATGCCAGGCCAGTCTCGGCTTGGGTAGGCAGGGGCGCAAAGTCCTCAGGGAAGGGGACTAAGGCGACGTTTCAGGCTCGTGGGCTGCTCATTCGCCGGACTTTGTCATATGTCGATTCGTCACCTTTTTGGTTGGATTTCTTTCCGGCTGCGTTGTGAAGGCAAGCAGGAGCGCAAGGACTGAAAAGCAACTGTCTCCTTCTAGCAGAACCACTCTAAAGGCCTTCTCTACCTGGCAGCCCATGTGCACTTCATTTGAGGAGCTGTTCGCCAACTGCTCAAAGTCGTAGTGGTGGAGGTGGGCTGGGCAGAAGACTGCAGCTTGCGACCACGGGGGAAAAACAACGCGATATTCGCGCATTCCCTGCAAGCCAGCTGCTGTGGGTGTTATGTCGACCTGGAGGCCGTGCTTTTGGACAGTCGGGCTGGCCCAGAGGCTTTTCTGCGTGCTCGCTCCATCGAGGAACGGGAGTTGCGGAAGGAAGAGGGCCAGAATAACAAATACTTCTCTAAACGGGATTGGCGCAAGCAGATTCTTGGCCATGTCGGTAGGCCATTTTGCACAGGCACTCTGATTGTCTTTGCCTACTCTGAAGTTGCGTAGCAGTAGCGCCTGCGCTTCTTCCATGGAGGCTATTTTCTGACCAGCGACACACAGCTGGAGAAGCCGGAGGAGTTCATGATCCGGTTGGTGAAGATTTGACACAAAAGAAACTTTCTTATAAAGTAGGTGTTTGTTTTTGTTCAGTGGGTGTCCAAAGTTTGCCTGGGGAGTGGTCACAGCAGTCCAATTTCATGTTGTCTCATCTTCAGATTACCAGATCTTGATGAAACTTCAAAAGCAAGCCTGGGGTTTGGCAATCGCAATACACTTTAAAACACCTGGAGGTTTTTGACTTCTGCTCTTTAATTTGGAAGAGGTCTCAGGCAAAATACAAAGTCCTTTTAAAGCAAGGACCATGACCACCGGTTGGCAATCTTTTTGTTAGTTAATAGATTCACAGCTTGACAAAGACACATTGCGATTTCACAGCGTCAACATTACAACTTCATGCTGCTTGGCCTGCCGCAGCATTGTTTTGGTGACCCAAATTGACCGCCAAGTTGCATCCCGCAGCTGCCATGTTCATCGCCTTCAAGGAGAAGCTGGACCAGTGGCCGAATCAAGCCACGCGAGCATGGATCGGGGCCCACCACTTGGAAGTGGTAAAAGAGACTTGCATTCAGGTGAAAAAGATTGTTTCCTGCCAGAAACAATACCAGATCTTGGACCAGGTTGAGATGTTGATGTGCTTTGGCAGGAGCTGCTGCTGTGAAGCTGATGGTCCGGCGCCGCTGCCATCAGATGATGCTTTGAAGCCGAGAAAGGATGGGCCCACAATCCTCTGCCAGCCCCGTGAAAGCGTCCGAGACAAAATTTCGAAGTACACAGCCCAACGGTTGACTGTGTTTTTTGGCGATGTGGAAGCTGCCATGTCTGTCATTGACACCGGCTTGCTGGGAGACAATGGCCTATTCAGGTGCCATCCTGAGATCAGGTCCCTCTTGCAACAATGTTCGGTGATCTTGCAAGACCACCGGGACATCTTGTGCGGCGTGATGAGCGGCAAATCTTTTGGTGGCACCATGTCCCTGGACGAAGCATTTGTTGCATGAGAGGACTATTGGCCATGACATTGACATTGAGCAGGCCCGGCTTTTGTTGGTATGAAAAGCCGAGGTGCGTTCTACCCAGGTTTCCGGCAAGCTTGCTTGCTGGAGACTCAGGACAGCTTGCTGTTCTTCACAGTGATTACCAGATTCTTAACAATTTGTCGATTCGTTTCAGTTTCCTGCTCTTCATCAATTCGATGTGCCTCATATTTGCAGTGTTTTGGTCATCAAGCTTTTTTGCGCCGCGCATCTGTATCATCATGGCTTGCTCTAAGATCTCTAAGAAAAGCAGCAGCACCAAAGCACAGCCAACAGACCTGTCAACTTTGATAGTGAAGCGAGTCAGGCTGCCCGGCATTCAATATGACGAGGTTACGCCCGAAGACTTCCCGGAGTACTTGGTGGCCCGCTCCGAGAAAGGAGCGCGCGACATGATGAGCTTCATTTGGTACTCGGCAGTGTTGGAGAGCGGAGACTGCGTCGTGCTGACAAACAAAGGCCCGCGCAAACAACAAGCGCTTCTTGTCCCTGCTTTCAATGGTTTGACATCATGATTCCATGTAAGATTTGGTTGTCATCATTATGTTTGACTGAGTGACTTAGGTTGCTCCTACAGAACTTTTTGATCTTCAACGAGGACAAAGATTGGAACTACATGATCCAGCCTTTTACTGCTAGAGTTGCAGACCCTGATGATCGCAAGGCGCCAACTCAGCTCATTTCAATTTTGTATCTTAAACCATCCAGGCCAGGTTTCGGCTCGGGGAGACATAAGCTAGGCTAATTAATGTGTGCGGCGTCCATTTTTTCAATCATATTGCGTCGTGAGAGTTTATTGTTTGCAATGGGTAATAGTCAATGTATTGTGTTTTACTGCGGCAGGTCCATGTCATGATCCCCGGCAGCGATGTTTGCGTGGATGAGCTGAAGATCATTTGCGACGGCTCCAAGACCAAGGACTGCCCATGCGAGTACATGACCGACCCAAATCCGCAGATCAAGTTGTGCCCCGAGAAGTTTCACCTCTTGGTGTTGTATGGCAACAAGCGCCGTATGTGACAGATCATCAGCAGCGACTTTGGCTACAAGAGCCACGATTTTGATATGCCTTGGAGGTTGGCATGTTACGTGATGTTTTGGAAGAAAAATGACAGGCAGCTTGCTGACTGTCACAATTCAGGTCAGCTTGCTGGCCCATTTTCCCTCATTCAGTGAGACACCAAATCAAAGCAGCGCCACACTTGACAACCAGTGATCTTGTGACGATCTGTTTATTCGCTATGCGCCTTACTTCTGATGTGGCTGCAAGAGACTGTTAGTATTTGGTAGGTTTAGATTAGGCCCTTCGCTTTCACAATGAGCGCCTGCGACCGGTATGTGATCAAGAAACTTGTCTTGCCTGGCAGGAAACATGTGTCTGACATAGTGGACGCCGATTTTCTGGACACACAGCTGGGACAAAGACCAGAGGATGTATTCTTTGTCCGCTTCAGCAAATGTCAAGTGGTGGATGAGAACAGCCTGAAATTCACACTGGAGCAAGGCCAAGACACACATTATGTGCCCCTCAGCTCATTTCAATTTTGTTTCCTCAGCATTCTCAGCATGCTGTCACCTCAATATCGATGTTTTGTTTCTAAAAATTAAGTCCAAGGATGTTGATCAAGCACTATGTTGTGATCGACCACCACGAAGACTTCGCAGTTCACCCACAGTATACCAGCCATGTTTCTTGGATTGTGTTTTTTATGTGGTTTCTCTCCTCGGTTTCCTTTTTTTGGCGCTTGTGGAATGTTCTGGAATCATTTGCCTCTGTCATTCAGGTGCACTTGTGCACTCACAGCACCACAGTCCACCTCGAGGAGCTGATTGTCAAGCGCGTTTGGTCACTGAATTCATCTTCAGCCCCAGTGTTTCGCGAGCCTAATGTGCTTGAAGTCTCTTCCGAAAAGCGCGCGAATCTTCGAAGGTTCGTTACAGTTTAGAAATTTGTGACCATGATTCGATCTGGCGCAATGGCCTTGAAAAGTTTTGCGCAGTCAAAACAATTCAGAGCCTGGCAAGCCAGCTTGCTGGTAAGCCACATGGGCCAGCTTGCTGGAGTCTTACTACAATAAATAAATATCGCTGTCCGAACTAAGTTCAGTGTCAAGGGCTGAGATTTTCCGAAAGACTTTGCAATCAAAATAGCAATTTGACACGGTTCATGTTTTCCATTGTTTCTAACAGAGACAATCACAGTGACATTTTCATCGCGCATACCAACATCCAATCCAGCCAACATGGATGCCGGTCCCCTCCAAGAGGGCGAAGCCAGTGACTCCGACATCAGTCTGCCGGATTCTGTTAGGTCCGATGATGGGCCACCAGATGAAGACGAATGGTCTCTCCCTCCAGACGTCTGCGAAGATGATCATGCTCCAGATGCTTGCTGCAAAAAAGGAAATTGCAAAAGCAAATTTCAAGAGAGCGAGCTGCAAGCATATGAATTGCAATTTGCGAATTGCAGCCAAGAACTGCGACTCAAAAAGGTCTATGAGCAAGTTCGAGAAGTATTCAAAGCAGGAGGATCTGACCCCAAGAAGTTGATGCCCTGGTCTGTCTTGGGACAGCCGGTTTGCAGGCGTTTCTTCGAAGGCCTTCATGGAATTGGGCACGGGTCTTTGGACAAGTTAGTGAATCTGGCCAAAAATGGCCATGTGGATGTGCCAACCCGAGGCCCCCGTTTGAAGCGAGAGGCCCCAGCTTTGGCTACTGTGGACACGTGGTTTGTCTCCATCTACAGAGATCTGGCTGAGCCCCTTGCCTTACCAGGGTCTGGGAATTTAGCAGAAAGCGATGGTCCTGATCCTGGTGCTTCTTCAAAAGATTCTGACATGGTGGAGCACGAGATAGTCGCAGCCGATCATCCTTTGGCAGCTCTGAGTCTCAATCTCAGGCAGTCCAACGCAGATGCTGATCCACATGGACGTGTTTATGTTCCGAAGAGATACTTGAATTTTGGCAGCGAACAACAAATTTGGAACTTCTACCAAGAAGATGAAGATGTTGCACATCAGATCTCCAGAAGTACTTTCCGGAAGGCTTGGGAGAAATGGCGCAGATTTTTGCCTCTGAAAAATTCTGGCGAAGGCAGTAAATGCAACGCATGTGCCTCTTTAACTTTGCAGCGCTCAGAAGCCACTGAGCCATCAGAACGTGTTCGAATAGATGGCCTCAAGCAAGCCCATCTGCAAACAGTGATGGCCGACCGCAACTTCAGTGTAAGGTGCAACAAGGCAGCCTCCCGCCCAGATGTCTGGCAGACAGCAAAGAATCAAAGTCTCTTTTGCAAGTTGGAAATAGATGGGATGGACCAATCAAAATTTTCCATCCCCCGCATGAAGCAGATGGCAGGGACATCTAGTTACTCTAAGTGCTGGCGACCGGCTGTTCACGTGACAGGGGCTTTGCTGTTTGGCCAAATCGAATACTACGCTGTTATGAGGCCAGATCTGGCCAAGGACTCGAACATGAACGCTACCATCACATGCCGGGTGTTAGATTTGATGCAAGAGAAATTGGATGCCCTTGGCGCTGGACATAGCTTCCCCGGCGAGCTGGTCGTCATGTGCGATAACACACCACGAGAAGCTAAGAACAGCCATTTTGGCTGCTTTCTTTCTTCCCTGGTTGGGAGATCTCTCTTTTCTGCCACAGAGGTCCACTTTCTACAAGTGGACCACACACATAATGAGTTGGACCAGCGATTTTCAACACTTGCATCCCACATCAAGCAAGCTGATGTCATTGAAGACATTGCAGATTTGGTCCTATACTTGCAAACTCACGTCACTGCAGCAGCCAACCGCACTCTGATCGTTGAGGAGTTGAATTCTACAATGGACTTCAAAAAGTATCTCAGCAGTGTGAACTTACACCTGTCGGGCCTGACATCAACGCACATGAAGCCCAATGCTAACCACATGTGGCGCTTTGCCCACAGGTTGTCCATTGACGAATCCCACCATGGAGCCATTGAATGCCATCACCAAGACTGGACAGGATTGCAACAGCATCCTTCGGATGTTGTTTTGATTGTCAAGCAATTTTTGTCTTCCCCGTCCCATTCCCAAGCACCTCAAGTCGTTCTTCCCTTGGAAATTGCAGAAGGCTTGACGGGCAAACTGGAAGCAGCTCCCAGAAACAAATTCGCTGAGACCACCCTGACCGAGTTCCGCAAAAGCGCAATGACCTTCGGCAATCAGCCGTGGAACTTGTTGAAGGCCAAATACTTTTTGGAAGAGCTGTGCGATTTGAATGAGAAGGAAGAGCTTCCACCATGTGTGGACCTGAAGTTCTTTTTTTCTGCCGAACCATGCCAAGTTCTCGTGCCACAAGCAGCAGATCGACTCTTGCCTGAAGATGGAGAAGATGATCAGAAGGACGAGTCCGCCGAGCCTCGTCGTGTGATTGCTGGCCGTCGTGGGGCTGGTAAAGCTAAGGCGGCGAAGGCCAAAGCAAAACCAAAAGTCAAAGCTGCAGTCAAGATGGCCGCAGTGCGCAAACGTCCTGCAGCAGCAGTTGCTGTTAGTGCTGATGCTGCTGAGTCAGAGGCTGGGGCCCCAGTCCGGAAGCGTCCCTCAAGTTCAAGCCGAGACAGGCTTGATGCTGCTGTTGCTGCAGAATTGCCTGAAGACTTTTATTTTGGGTGCTCGAAATGCCGCCACAGTGAGAATGGCTGTGCTGAGTGCCAGAACAAAGCAGATGCCTCCAGGAGTGGATGGAAGCGCCTTTCCAATGGCATGGTGATCCGTGCTCTCCCAAGTGCCTGACTGTTGGATTGTTTCACTGTGCCTCCAGATTTTGCAAAAGGCTTCACCCAACGCATGACTGTAGTCAGCTTGCTGGCTACACTTTGTGACAGTCAGCTTGCTGACTTTTGTTTTCGCAATCGTCGCACACTGTGCTTCTGAACATTGATGATATTCATTCAAACCCGGCTTATCAGTTTCACAGTCACAAATAATACTAAATTTATCTTTTATATTATCTATAAAATGTCACCATTATTTGCACAGTGTGAACTTTGAACTGTAGCTAATGATTTTTCATTGCGTTGCATTTGCATAGCTTTAATATTAGGAGCAAGTGAACAAAGACTATCTTAACTTTGTTGCAAGAGATCTTGATCAGAATTGATGGCGTCCGATTCCGGATCAGATGTGGTCTTTTCTGACGCTGAGCATGACTCTGATGTGAGTTTGCCTTCTGACATCGTGCAAAGCGATGCTGGGCCCGCCGAAGAAAACGATGTGATAGAAGGTTTGTCTGGCCCCAACTTACCATCAGACGTTGACTCTGACGGCTTTTGGTTTTCGCCAAGTGAGGATGGGTTCGGCTCTGAGCCCACAGCTTCAGAGTCAGTGCCTTCAGTGAAAGAATTCCATTTGAAAGGAATGTCGCTCTTCAATTTTGCAGCAATGGAAATCTATTCTCCTCCGCGCGTTTTGCCCATGATTGATCGCTGCCCGTGCCGGATGTCTCTGGATATTCTTACAGGCTGGAATTTGTTGGACGCTTCAGTGAAGCAAACTGTGATCAAGATGTGGGAAACGCAAGAAGTGAAGATGCTCCTGCTTTCTCCTCCCTGCACCATTTTTAGTCCTCTGCAAGTTTGCTTTCGGAATTACGAGAAAATGGATCCCGAAACTTTGAAGAAAAAATGGGCAGAAGGACTGCACCATCTTGATTTCAGTGCCATGGGCATTCGAAATCAGTTGCAGAAAGGGCTTAAATTTATGTTGGAACATCCACAGCGAGCCTCCTCCTGGGAGCACCCTCCCATAGCAGAGATCCGAGGTCGCCCAGATGTTTACTGCGCTGATTTTGATCAATGCATGCTCGATTTGAGAGCCCCCAACAATTTGCATATGAAGAAGAGGACACGCATCATGACCAACTGCCATTGGTTAGCTTCCACATTGAGACAATATCAGTGTGATCGGAGCCACATTCATCAACCGATCGAGGGTAGCATGGCGGGCCATAGCTTGTCTTGGTGGGCGCAGCATTACCCACCAGATCTTTGCCGCATTTTAGCTGAGAGCGCTCAGCGATTGCTGTGAAAAGCTGAGGCCAGGCCAAGTGCGTTGATTTGGAACCATTTTCCCGCTAAATATGTTTCAATCATTACTATTTTCAATTGAAAATTTTCAAGATCCGACGGATTTTTCCAAATCCCGCGATGTCAGACTTGGGTTTTGCCCCCCCCAAGATCCGAAGATTTCAAATGAAATCCCGCGATATCAGGGGTAAAAGTCTGAATGCTGCGAAGTCAGGGTTGGATTTTGACCTCCCCTAGATCCGGAGATTTTCACTTACACCCAGGATATCCGAGGATTTCAAATGAAATCCCGCGATCTCAGGGTTGGATTTTGCCCCCCCCCAAGATCCGAAGATTTTAAAACATAAAAATAAAAAATCCCCGGATATCCGAAGATTTCAAATGAAATCCTGCGATCTCCCTGTGTCCCAGGCTTGCTCCGAGAAGAAGATCCGACGATTTCGGGCCAGACAAAAGATCCGACGATTTCGGGCCAGACAAAAGATCCGACGATTTCAGATTCCAGACAAGATCCGACGATTTTATCAGTTCTGAGCCAAAAAACAAATTGCTGCCATTTTGCCTGTGAGTCACTTGTCAGAGCTTGATTTCTGATTCTGACTTGCCCTTTTATTTCCAGCCATTCATTGATTTGGGGCGCAGATTCATCGGAATGGGCCCACTGACTGTCAGGCTCATCCGTTGTTTTTAACTCGGGCATGTTCGGGCTCAAGAAGCAGCGGCTAGTTGTGCATTCGAAAGCCATTAACTACAAATGGCTATGATGGCTCAGGACCCAAACCTTGGCCAGAGTCCGGCGACCCCTTTTTCTGCTGCTGCTGATTCAGCAGCGGGATGGCTTGCAAGTCCGGCAACCCCCGCTGCCTCTTCAGTAGCGGGATTGCTGACAGGCTCCATGGAGCCGGCTGAAACTCCGAGCGCTGCGATTACACAGTTGGAGCACAGTTGTGAGAAAGCTTTGCAGCAGTTCTGCGGCCCTCAGCAGTACCTGATCGCCAATCTCAGCAGCCACGATGCAGTGGAAAACTTCAGTGAGTGGCTTCGGGTAACTTTCCCGGAAGCAGATGACTGTCTCTACTCAGACAAGCCACTGTCCAAGGTTTCAGGGCAGAACCCAGATTTTGCCTGCCAAATTCCTTTGTGTCTCCACGTGTCCATGCTGGGCTTCACAAGCGCGTGCACGCTCAAGCCGCCACCAGGCAGTGAGCACTGTAATAACTTGATCCAGGAATTCTTGAAGGATGGCTTCCTGACAGCGTCTGACCCCCTCTTAGTCATGGAGCACGACCCAGACTGTGCGCCCTTTGATGTGCCCATGCACCCTTCGCAAAAAGCTCGGGCGTTTTCCCTCGCCTACCTCAAAGGCTATGCCCGTTCGTGTACCTTGCTGTTTGTTTTGCACAGGATCAAGTCTTTGGGCCTGGACTTAGCTGAAGATGAAAGTTTGAAGCCTCTGATGGGCTCAGTGGTGAAGATTTGGGCCCACTGCGTCCATCACCCGTCTCGGATGGACGAGGCTTTGCAGAACATGAAGCTGTCTGCCCGAGGCAGCTTGCGCCACGCCAACAATCTTATTCAGTGCTGCTTCATCATCAGAAATTTGCGAGGCAAATGTGGGCTCAGTGATTCCTCTGTCTTTGTGAAGAGATGGAATTCGATGTCCACGAAACAGTTTCAGATCACAGGGAAGAGAGCCACCGCCCTGAAGTTCCTCCTGGATCAAACGCCGGAACATGTCCTCTCATTGGTTCTTGATCATGTCAATGACTTTGGTTGGGACAAGAACCTTTGGAGCGATGATTCTTTGGCAGTCAAGAAAATGTATCCAAATTTCCAGTTTGCCTGCGCGAAGAAGTCATGGCTTCCCCGTATGAAGACAACAGAGGAATCCATGGAGCTTTGCATCAAGCATCTTCAGAACGGCTTCGTTGCGAAGTCCTTATACTTGCGCAGGAAAGTGGATGCCCAGACTGTTGAGGAAACATCGCAGCGCGCAGCTGTAGTATGGCACCTTGGACAAGAATTGCTTTCGCAAATTCCCATCGACCCAGCCAAGATCAAGGAAGTGTGGTACGACAGCTTTGCAGCAGGAGATGGCCCAGTCGATGCGGAGATCCAGGGGATTCTCATGGATAAGTCTGAAAACTTTGATCTTCGCCGGGACAGCCCAACCCTGAAGAAGTTGTGTGACCAGCAAAGCTTTGCAAAGCCTGTCTGCGCCAGTGCAATTGAGGAAGCAACCTTGCAAGTTGACAAATTTGCATTGGTCATGAAACAGCTGCAGTATGACTTGCAAGTCTATGAAACTTGGTCGCGCAAGACTGCCAGTGTGAAGAGCGCCCAGGAGCATCAGCGCCACCTTTGGATGCTGCAGCGCCGCAAGAGATGTGAAGCAGCTGCCCAAACTTTCCTCAGCCGATCTCTGAAGCTTGTTGTTTGGGACAAGCGCCGGGCTGAACAGTCCATTGCAGAGTGCATGAACTTCAAGAGAGAAGTTTGCCAACAGCAAGGCATTTCCCCTGATGACATGTACACTTTGCTGTACTGGAACTGCAGCGCTCCGTGCCTGATGCCTTCAGCGTCTTACAACAATGCCACCAATGTGGTGGCCTGGGCTTTGAATGACCAGATGAGAAGCACAGCTCTGATCCTCACGCGGACTTTCAGCTACAGCAAAGGAAAGGTTTTTCTGGAAGAGCAGAATCTGCTCCAGAAGCTGTCAGCAGGGAATCACATCTTGGATTGGCAGTTCCACCTCCTCTTCAGCAACAAGCCAGATGCCAGGGATCTCAGACCAATGGTCTATCCAGGCAGATTCGTGTTTCCCTCTTGGTTCCAATGCGATCTGAGAAAGGATCAAAGGACTCCAGAAGTGAAACAGATGCCAGCCAAAGAAATGCGTGAAGTCGAGTCTGTGTGCGAGGACGATGTGCCAAACTCCGTGGATGCCTGAGACGGAGTTACGGGAGCCGCCAAGTATTGGCAAGTTGGCACCAATGCTTGCCACTGTCTGTTGACCAGCGCGCTCACTGGACTGACGCCAGAACCCCAGGGAATTTTGGTGATGGACCTCTTTGTTCGCAATGGAGATTTCACAGAGGCGTTCTGCCAGGTGAAGAGTGGCAGATCCAACATTCACTACCTGGGCTTCTGTGAATCCCAGGATGAGATCATGTATGTGGAGGCCTACTTGAAGGAGACCTTGGCACAGTCCTACGAGAATGGCCAGCCCACGCCCACAGGTGAGAAAATCGAGCAAGACATGAGCGAGGACTTGAAAGAGAAGCCGCCTCCTCACCCAAGACTGAACTTGCTGGTACTTTGGCGGCGTTTAATCTGCAATCATTTGTCTTTTTTTTGAAAGGCATGGGTCAAAGAATGGCTCAAAGGTTCTATAAGACTAAATACATCAATCAGTCCTCTGCAGATTCTTCGATTTGTTTTCAAGCTTCGGCGACATTTTGTCAAACGCCGTCGTTTTGTTAGGCCGTCCATGAGTTAGTGCCATGGAAAATGAGATAGTATTATACATTTTTTACAGTTTCATATTATATACTTGCATATTGGAGGATCTGCCCTACTATGTCTAAACGATCGGGTTGTATAATCATCAGCTGGTGGAAAAGTTTTGTTCCACTGCCTCCCGAATCGATTCTGCATGTCAGGTGTTGAAGAATGAAGAGCTTGGTCTGCCTGTGCAAGTGATCCGGGAATGGCAAGACCATGCGACTTGCGGACCTGAGTTTCGGAAATGGCTGGAAGGTTTCCAAGCGAAACACAAAGTCATTGATGATCGAGCTGAGCAAAATGAGACTGACCCACAAGGACAGTCTTCTGATGGCAAGAGAGCCAATGGAGGCCAAGTTGGCCCCTCTCCAAAGAAGGCTCGCACTGATGTTCCAGCCCTGGAGCCTAGCAGAATTATCGAAAGCTCGAAGATCACCAGTGCTCTGATCAACGAATACAGCTTGCCGGTAGGTAAGGATGTGGCAGTATCTTTTCACACGCGAACAGAGAACCAAATGTTTTTGGTGAACAAAGGCTCCAAGACATGGAGTGCATCTGACCCTGCCATTCTTCATTTTGGAAACGGCTCATGGAAAGTCCTCAAGGCAAATCAAGATTTGCCGGACGGGGCTGTGGAACTGAAGTTCGCTAGCTGCGATGACAAGATCTTGCTCAATGGCGCCGTGCAAACTTTGGGGCAGGTAATGGCCGACATGCGTCAGAAGAAGCCCGACGCCAAGATTGCCTACCACCAGATCCAAGAGACGGATGACATCAAGCAGTTCAGTTTGACCACCACGCACCGTGTGGTTTTCGTGTGCAAGACCGAAGGATCCGAGTGGTCTTCCAAGAATGTGGCATCCAAAGTGTGGAAAGCCGGTATGGACGGTGGCCCCCTCAAGCTCATCTGGTACATGCGATGGGCCACCAAAGGATTGGTTCCCATCAAGCCCGTTCTCCATTTGCTGGGCCACGCTACTCTTACAGCAGGACAAGCTGCAGATGTGACTGCGCGCCACGGGTCCTGAGAAGTCGCAGCCGCTGAGGGCTGAGAGTCGGCTTTTGTTGCGTTTGGCATTGGGCATGGCCTGGGGGCCATCGCAGATTTTGAAGATTGCGCCAGGCAAATGATCTCTAAACCAGCCAATCATAGGCTTTTCTTGATTGTGCCCATGTAAGAAAATTAAAGAAATGCATGTTTCTCAGTGGTGGAACCAATAGTCATGGCGGTCTGTTTCTGCGCCTTGCCATTCGGCTTGAACTTAGTAGCAGCGTCTGCCGCGCCTCTGTTCCATAGCTATTTGCTAACAAGATGCTGATTCAGAACGAATTCACTCCAGTGGGTATCAGTAACCTCTGAAGATCCTGATGGACATCGATCTGTCATCAACAAACCTGTTTGTTTCAGGACAAAGTGCGCCGCAGCCAATCCACGCTTGACCCATTCTCCGGGCAAAGGTTCCAGATCAATCTTTTTTCTCTCCATGAGTTTGT